AACCCTCAGTGTCGCGCCCGTACCGGACCGGGACCGGCAACGGAATCGCAACCCTCGGTGTCACGCCCGCACCTCGCTCAGCCAGTGAGCGGGAACCGGTCTGTATGTGGGATCCGAACCCTCGGCGGGAGCGCCGCCGCGCCTCCCAAGCGGCGCACTGTAGCAGTGCACCACCGGGCCAGCCCCTCATCCCTCTCTTTTCTAACCCAAAGTGTTAAAGGGTTTATCTAAAATTTAAAGTACAAAAAAAGTGATGCACCAATAATGTACAAAAACACTAACCTAACTCACAACTACCCCCATATGATTCTCATCACTTTCATTAATAAAAAAGTTAAGTTGAAGTGACAAATAGGTTTCATGTTATGTGCCAACTCTGACTGGTTATTGATGATTCCTAAAATGCAATGCTAAGAAACTGAATTTGTATGTATGCTCGGCCGTAAAAAAGGTTTTGAAGTCATTCATGATGTGTGCCAGGGCACTGAAATAGAGGAAAGAATGAACATGCATACGTGAAAAATAGTGCAGAGGAAAAAAAAGTGATAGAGACTGTGTGCACGTGTGTACGTGTGCTTACCTGAAATGCTAACATTGTTTAGATGAAGTTATTAAGTTACCACTGACTGAAAGTGTACATGTCAGGCACTGTTCCAAGCATTTATAATTATTAACTCCCTTATTCTCACAACAACAACCCTACAAAGACGCTAATATTAACACTTTCATCTTATGACTAGTGAGTGATAGAGTTAGAATTTCGACCCAGGGATTTTGGCTCCAGAGTCCGTTCTTTTAACCAATATGCTATACTGTATCTTACAAGAAATTAATGCAACTTCTCAAGTTGGAGAACATCTCCAGAATGCAGGTTTCACTTGAGAATGCATTCTGACAGACTAAATTAAAACATTATTTTATCTCCATATATTACCTAAAAACATAGAATTTATAGTGAGATCTCTGCGCTCAGCATCTTTCTGCCAATCAGTTGTGAATTCTACCTCAGCGTGTCTTCCATCAGTGATGACATCAATCCGTAGTGTAGTAATTTCAAAATTTTCTTCATGAAGCTGCAATTAAATACATGTTTTTTAAAAAATTAGTTTTTAGTATCACTGGATAGATTGAAAAAAAATAATTTGTCTTCATTAAGGCATGGTACTGTAAGCCCTGACAATGAGTTATATCTTTCTAAAGTCAACTGGTATACATATGCCTTGAAACAGAAAGATGTCCACAACATTCAAAAACAGGTCCAAAGAATGAGTTCGAGCCTCAAAACAGTATATTCTGGTTCTTCAATTTCAGTTCAGGCTTTTTTCTGAAATATTTCTAATAGCTCCAGTTTGCAAAGAGCTGAGTGTAAATTTATGAAATATATACCATTGAGCAAAAGACTGATACAGGAAGAAGTATAGTTAACAGATCTGCAGGTCCTTCACTGCTAATCACCAGTGAAGTTACAGTGGTGCACATATCTTGGAAAGAGAGATTACCTCCAGCTGGGAAAGTTGAGTAGCTTTGTGATAGAGTTGACATCTGAGCCGAGTCTGGAAAAATAAGTAGGATCTGTACATGCAGATGTGGGGAGAAGAACATTTCAAAGAAGAGAAAAGACAGCCAAAGGCACAGTGCAGAAGATGAATATATGAAAAAAAGAAAGTACACCACATGAACAGCATATTGGTATTTAGGAGTAGAAAGCAGAGTTTTATATGCCAAGCAGGAGTTTGGAATCTCTTCATTAGGAAATGAAAGCTAATAATGATCAGTAGAATTGTTCTAGGATTCCTCTCAATTTCATATATTCTTCTCTAGGTACAAGTTATATCTATATTCTCACTACAGAATCTCAGAACTCAGGAATTTGAGACACAAGTATCCCTGAAGGCAAAGGGTAAGGAAAGGGGTTGAAATAGGAAAACTGTTTGAAAATCATTGTAAGTAACTATTAGATCTCACCCTATCCCACCCCTGAATTCCTACCTTATCCAGGCAGAAAACCAGGGATTATGAACTCTCTAGAAAGGCTGAACCAAAAATAATGAGAACTTGGTGCACCAGGCACACATGATCGTGGCAGTGAAGCATTACAATGAAAACAAGATTAAGTGAAAATCAACGTGAACCTCGTCCCTTTCCCCACTTGGTTTTCAAAATGCTAACAACCAGGCTTATTCCCTGGCAAAACACTGGGGGACTCCTCTCTGATTTCTCCTAATGAAAACTCCTATTGATATCGACATTGGGAGTCCCACAACAAACTGGCTGACACTTCCCACACAAAACTTATAATAAAGCCCTCAAGTTGTTTTGCCAACACTTTAGAGCTTCACCCAAATATAAGGAGTGAGCCAAAGAATACCCACATTTAAGGAAAGCCAACATGAAAGACAGAAAAATGTCAGAGGAAACAAATACATTGTCAAAATAACTACAACTGATATCCTAAGGGAAATAAGAGGAAATACTGCATCTGAAATAAGAACAGGTAGCTTGCAAAAGAAATACACTAAGACAGACCTCTGGAAAATTTAAAAGACTGCAAAAGTTGTAAATACAAAAGAAAGGTTGAAGATCAAGTTAAGACATTCTCCTGGAAAGTAAAATAAAAGACATGAAAACTGAAGACAAAAGGTAAAACTAGAAGATCAGTTCCAGTGGTCCAACATCCAAATAATAGGAGTTCCCAAAGGAGAAGACATTTAACAAAGGGGATGAAATTATACAAGAAACACAAGAGGGCTCACTAAGTGCCCTGCACAATAAAAAATAAAAATAGGAAAAAATAAATAAAAAAAAAATCCAAACCAAGACACATTATCTTGAAATTAAAAGCACCACAGATAAAAAGATCAGAAACGTTTTCAAAAGTGGGAGCAGGGGCGGGGGATCAGGCTTCAAACAATTCAAACAAAGGAGAAATTAAGTGGGATCAAGACTTCTCAGTGGCAGCACTGGAAGCTAGAAAACAAAGCCTTTACATTCCTGAGTAAAAATTATTCCAAGCCTAGAATTCCATAGTCAACAAAACTATCAAACCAGTGTGTAGTTAAAATAAAAATATTTTCAGACATGTAAGGCTTCCTCAGGTTTGGGACTATTAAAATGAAGGCATAAACCGAGAAAGAATATCACATGGGAATTCAGGAAACCTAACAAGAGAAACTAAGGAAAGTCCTAGAAACTGGAGCAGGAAGACAGCACTCACCAAGTGAGACGTCTCCATAGAAAAGAAAAGATAGAAAGCTGAAACTTGATATGTTCAAATCTTTTGAGAAGAACTTTACAGTCTGACACAGAGTAAAGAAATGGATTAGTGGTGTATGGAAAGCTATGTAAACAAAGAAGGCTGTTAACTGCAGGAAACACAGAAAACATGCAACAGAAGAATGTAATAATATAATCCATAATCCAGCTGTATAAAATACAAAGTCATAAATGCAAACCCTGAATATTGATTTAACCAAAAATTATGATATAAACATACTGTGAAGACAGGGGAAGGAGAATTATACGTGCTTATTGTTGAGAAGGGATGTGGAAAGTAAGTTAAATCATCTTCTCTAGTAGGAAGTCAATAGATAACATCTTAACACTGGAAAATGAAAAACAAAAACAAAAACAGCAGCATACAAGATCTTTTTAAAAATATGAGGTAACAGGTAAGTATCACTTTTAAAGTGGCTACAACAAAGGAGGATGCAGGCTTTAAGAGAGGGGTAAAGGAGACTGACATTTTTATTAGGCTTTTTGTTATTTGCTTTTTTGAACAAGAAAAAAACTATTAAATTTTTTAAAAATTACAAAAAAGGGAATGCAGTTAACTAAGTGTTAAACTTTTCACTCACCCTGGCAGTAATTGTTCCGTGCTTTTCTCCTTTGTTGTTTATCATCCGAACACCAGCTGACTGAAACATCTCTTTCATCTGAGTAGGGGTAGCAGTAGTAGCAAAATCCACATCTTGAGGCTTTATTCCATTTAGTAAATCCCTTACTGCTCCTCCTGCTATTCTTAATTCATGATTCTCTTTGACAAATAATTCTGAGAAAAAGATTTTTATTTCAGTGTGGTTAAGAATCACGGAAGTACAAGGTTTTTCAATCTGTTAGGAACAGTACAGATCATTTAACTGAGCTTATTAATATGAAAAATGAGAACATGGCCCAAAGAAGTGAAATGACACTTACGGTAGAATACCTCTAAGAACTGTGGAAAGCAGGGAAGTTGCAGAATTTTTCTCTGCAATTCAGAAGATATAGTGGTCCCCCCTTATCCATGGGAGATAAGTTCTAAGACCCCCAGGGGATGCCCAAAACCGAAGATAATAGTTGCAGAATTTTTCTCTGCAATTCAGAAGATATAGTGGTCCCCCCTTATCCATGGGAGATACGTTCTAAGACCCCCAGGGGATGCCCAAAACCGAAGATAATGCTGAACTCTATATACTATGTTTTTTCGATCTGATAACTGATATGGGTACAAAGTGACTAACAGGCAGGTAGTGCATCAGCATAGATATGTGGGACAAAGTAGGGGACAAAGGAATGATTCACGTCTCACGCAGGACAGGATTTCATCACACTACTCAGAACAGTGCCGATTTAAAACTAATGAATCACATTTCTGGAATTTTCCATTTAACATTTTCATACCATGAAACCATAGATAAAGGGAGACTACTGTAATTCAGAATTCCACAGTCAAGGGCATCAATACAAATTTGTATTACCAAAGAATAAAGCAAACAATTCTGCTTTCTCTTTCCCGATTTATGTGTATACTTTAGAAATGGACAAGTGTTCTTTTAAGTATTCCTCTGTGTATAAATGTTGAGGCAATATGTTCATACATAAAGCCATCAGACAACATTAGTCTATCATACCATTTATGATAAATGTTATAGCTAAGAATCCTTCAAGAATAATCTGCATATGATATTTAAAACCAACTCATATCTGTGCATTGGAACCACTACAAGCAACTACACAGCTGACTCCTCTATAGGTGTACGACTAGGCAAGGTCCATTATAGCTGTATGACCAAAGGACAATGTATGGAACCTAGAGAATGACATCCAGGAACTGGCCTGATACTACCAGCTAAGTGCTGGTGTTGCTACGAGCTGGCCTGCCACTCACAACTAGGCTCTGGTGTTGTATAGAACACAATTTCACAGAACATCAATACTTCAGACGAGTCCATTCTGTGAGCACCAAGAATCAAGACAAACAAGACAACTCTAATCACATGTGAGCACAGACAAATCATGAACACTGTCCAAGACACACCCAATAAGAGTTAATATGAGTACTTACCAATCAGTTTCAGTCTCACTCTGTTCTCTCCTTCTAGGTAAGAATTAAGATTCCCAATCATAGAATCTACTTCTACTTCTGAGAGCATGTGATCTACTACAAAACCCTACTTCCTTAAATCCTCTCCAAAATGTCCTAATACAAGCCAGAATCCTATAAGAAGTCCTTTCTAAAAAGTTACTAAGATGTCCCAGTGGTCAGTGTTCTCCCTCACTGCAAGAGTAACAATCCAACTTGGTGAGTCTCTGGTGGTCTTTGGCTGAATGTAACTGACACAAGCTTTCAGCTCAACTCATCATATACCAGAGTTCTAGCATCCCTAATCACAACCTCAAAATGCAAGCCTCCCAAATTATTGCATACTGAAAATTAACTTTAAACATGGCCAAGCACCTATTAGGATTTGAGAACTTGTACAGCAGGATTTAAACCTCACATATCTCCATACAACAGCCATCACAAAGACTGTGTGTGTTTTGGTACATTTTGTTTTTATACAGAACATTACATTTTTACCAGGGCACCCAAAGCAATCATTTGATTTTCTAACTACTGAGCACTGCATGAAAAGATTCCATTCTTTCCACATCTTTCATAGCCTGGAAAAAGTTAACTTTAGAATATGGAATATCCATGCTGTCCCTCACCAGTCTTTCAAGGACAGGACCCTGGAAGCAACCACTACCTCTATCTTACCACACTACTTAGGCTCTAAACCTCTTAAGACTTCATTTCTCAGGATGGAGAAAATTCAGCTCTTAAAGTCAGGTTCAGTATGCCTAATGTAATTGTTGAAATAAAAGATGTCCAAGAATCTATGGTAACCAATATCCAGAACCTTCCAAAAAGACGCAGAATAATCTGAGAGAGGCCACCAAGAATTATTCTTTCTTCCAACAGGCCTCTTGCAATTGAGAGTGTGAAAGTAAGAGCTAAGAAGGGCATATAAAGAAGAATAAGCTCAAATTCAACCCAAAATTGGAGCTTCCAGATCTACACTAATCAAACAGTAGCCACTAGCCACTTGTGGTTACTAAGCATTTGAAATGTGGTTAGTCTGAACTGAGATGTACTATATGTGTTAACCGCATGCCAAATTTTGAAGACTTACAAGAATATAAAATATCTCATAATTTTTACACAAATTTCATGTTGAAACGATAGCAGCTTAGACATACAGAATTAAATGTGATGTACTAAAATAATTATTAAAATTAATTTCACCCATCTTTTACCTAACGTGTTTAGTAGAAAAGTTTATATTACATAACTCGGTTCAATTAAAAATCACAGTGAAGCATCAGCATAACCAAACTTACAATTTAAGCCCTGAACTTCAAACCACCTACAGAATCTAAAAATATCACAAGTTCTGTACCATTTACCTCTGGCGTGTACCTGAAAAGCCATCATCTAATTTTAAGAATGGGAAAGGAGCTTTGGGACTAAACTAATACAAGGAGAGTCAGTTTAAAACAATGGTTCCTCCATCTTCTGTGCATGAGAATTCATCTGTGGAGCCTTATTAAAAATATAGATGTTCATCCCTCCCAGAGATTCCAATTTAGTAAGCAGGGGGCAGAACCCCAGCCTCTGTATGTTTTAAAAGCTCCCCAGGTAAATCTAATGGACAGCCAGGGTTGCAAAGCACCGTTTAGGTCATGTTTCTATATACACGGCTGGATATATTTCTGAAGCCACCACTAAAATACCCAGGCTTTGGAATGCAGCTGTGTGGCTGCTTCACCAACATCAATAGCTGACATTAAGAAGCAGCACATAAAATTGTGGCAACAGCAAAAAGATGATGCTGTACTCTGGGACTCAACTGAAGCCATTTCTTGTGTTTCTTCCAGAAAAGTTTTGCATGTGAACAAATGGAGGTAACTCTTACTTCCTTCTGCCTTCAATTCTGTCAAAAAGCACTTATATCTAGGAAGGACATAGAACTTGGTGGTTACAAGCTGGGCTCTGAAATCAGACTCACGAGTTCAAAACCCAGCTCTCCTGTAATTATACAAAAGTAGGCAAAGCACTTCACATTCCTAAGCATGCTTCCTCCTCCATATAACAAGTAAAAATGTACCTTCATTGATTAAAACCAATCCTATAAAGTACAGAAAGTACTTAGTGAAGCATACAGAAAAGCCATGCTTTTTATTGCAGTAAACTTCTTGCCTCTCGTAGTAAATTGGCTATAGAATTTGGATTACTTGTAATTGATACTTTCTTTCATTAGCTCAACAACAAAAAAACCTGAATGTTGGCTAAAACAATGTTGACACTGTACTTCTCCACTTACACAAGCTTCCGAAGCATGAAAAGACATCCGAATCTCTCACCTGTCAGACTTTTCAATCCGTCTGTGAAAAGTGACTGGAATTCTGATGACTGCAACTTCATTGTAAACAGATATCGCTTCAGAAGGCACAATCTACTCCAACTACAGCTCCGTACTGGCCTGTGCCAAGGAGACAGGTACCTCAGCATCTGGACAGAAAGTCACCGAACATCTACAAGGCAAACACATGCACACAATTTAAAAGTGAAAGAAAATAAACGGACACATTGCAATTTTATTTATCAACTGTGAGAAATTCATCTCCTGCTCAGATGAAAAACCCAAAAAGGGACAATTTGAGGGACAGCAACGACTAGATCTATGCTCGTGGCTAGCCGGTTTTGTACTATATGAAAAACTTACCACGGTATTCTATTGTGATAGTGCTCTCCCAACGCGGCTGTAGTTAAAGCGTGAGGCGTACGGGGTTCAGAAAATGTCACTGGAAGACTTGCAGGAACACCTGGTCTCCTCCAGAACATGCCATAGTCACCTGTGGATATCATCCTTTCTCCCCACCCCTACTTGAAACTAACAACTCAGGGATATTGCCTAGGAATTTTGAAATAGCTATTTTCCCATGACTTAGGTCTGCTGCTCCCATTTTCCCCGTTTTGACCCCTGATCGTGCCGTCTCCTGACCTCACCACACCCTGCCTTCCTTTCTCCACCATTACATCCTTGTTCTCCCCCTAAGTGGGCCTCTGTGAGCACAGCAGCTCTCAAGTGACCCTAAAGTCAACGACTAGAGAAGAACCATTCCACTCCTGGAAGAGCGGGTTGGAAGGTGCGGCGTTTCCCACCAGGGGCAAGTTCCCTTCACCCAGGCCACATGAGGAGAGAAGACCGACTCCGTGACCTTCCACCTCCGCTTCAAATTAGAAAAACCGCAGGGGACCCTGGCCCTGAAACGGCACGTCGCACTTGGGCCCGGCCGCGAGGAAGGAAAAAGGCCCCGGGAAAGGCCAGTGAATCCGGCCCGCGGTCAGCCGGGACGTGGCGGGGACACGACCTCCGCGCTGGGGCTCTTCTGCCCAGTGCCGAGGACGCCTCTTGCCGCACCCGCCTTCCCCCAGGGCCTAGGACAGCCCAAGGCCGCGCAGGGGAACGGAGGATCGGCCGCTCGCGTCAACGCCAAACCTCCCGGCGGCACGCGCTCGCTTACCAGCCCAGCCGCCGTCGCCACCGCCGCGCGCACTTCCGGGACGGCAGGCGCGGTGACGTCACAAGCGTACGCCGGTCGTCGACGAATGGGAGGCCACGGCGGGACGTAGGCGGGGCCTCGGCGGGTTCCCCCCCACACACTTCCACCTCCCCAGGGGGCAACGGAGCGCTGAAGGCGGTTCCCGGCTGCCTCCGAATCCCGCCCAGGCCTGGCCGTGCTTCCGGGAGGGCCCTGGGCAGTCAGGGCTTGTTCATTTCTTTACTTCCCGCTGCACCTTTCGCTTACCTGAGGTGCTCAGAGGCCCATTTGCACGACATTCCCGTGCGACCTTGGACGAGTGCTACTGTCTTCCTTTGTAAAATGAGACAGTTAACAAAACCGATGTCCGCGGTTGCCAGGTTTAAATGTCACCTTAATCCCTGGCACTGAGGAAGTGTTCAGTAAATGTCAATTTATATTCTTGCCTGCGCCCTGGTTTGCACTTATGTTACCGTTCTGTACCCTAATGTCTTTGTAGAATTAAGTCCACAAGTAAATCAGTATTCACAGGCATAGCGTCAAAAGCTAGACAGCGTGTTCAAAACACATTCTAAGTCTAACCTTACAGTTCCTTGAAATGGATGCCTGAGGAAGGGTCTAGGGGCCCCAAAGCAGCTTCAATCCACCGAGCCCTCCTCTTACCAGGTTCTTGACTCTGCCACCGGAAAGAATTCAAGAGCATAGTCACAGTAGAAAGTGAGAACAGGTTTAATATAATGGCTAAGAGATACAGATTTTCCAGAAAAAGTGTGGCCTAGCTCCAGAGACTGGGCAGAGCCTCCACCAAGTTTAAAACAAAGTAAGAAATGCGAACTTAAAATTTAGTACAGACTTCATGCTAGCTCAAGAGAGAGCAGCAGCTTGCTGAAAGTAGGTTTGATATATAAAGAAACAAATATACACTCTACAGGCAGAATGTGGGCTGGCCCCCTGAGCCAGCGAGCAAACAGCCCCGCCTTCTGCTGGGATATGGCATTCATAGTTCAGCTATATAATGAATATTCAGTTAAGAGGGTGGTTCCCAGTTATGCAACATAGTCTTGCACATGCTCAGATGGTCTCCTTTTTAGAGCATGTTCCTTGGGCAAATCCCATCACCTGCACCAGACGTTCAAAAACATTCTGTGCTCTTTAGCACCCCTAGTGGAAGGTCATTCAGCTACAAGTTATAGAACCCCTCTGTACTGAACATGCCCAGCCACCGGATTTGCATAAGCCAGCCTCTTGTGGTGTCATTTTTCCCATGTCGGTGCTGAAAACAGGTCTAACTAGTAGCAGTAACTTTCCTCTAGGGGAGGATATAGAAGAGGGGCCTGAGACCTTGGAGAATCGATTGTAACCCAGAGGCATGTCCTGTAACCTAAGCCCAGGGAAACTTTGCACCTGCTCTCTCAAAATTTCTGGGCATATTTTATTTTCCTGCCTGGTTTGTGTGATCATTGGTCTCTGTGGTCTGGAGGCTTTGCACCTATAAAGTGAAGAAGTTGGGTTTGATTCAGTTCTTTAATTTCTTCTAGGGCAGAGAAGCGTGAAGAGAGTGGGAAAGGAGTGGGAACAGCCATTAAGCTCTTAAAATGGGAGAATGTGTAGTCTTTTAAATGTAACTTTAAATTACTCAACTTTCCCCAAAATTTTACTAGGAAAATGCGTGTGCCATGGTACATCTGTGTCTTCCAATTACCAGGCCTTCAGGGATGTTGAGTGTCCTATTTGTAGAAGCATGGGACTAGTCTGAATTGACATTTAGAGACAGAGTGTTGATTCGATCCAATGCCTTAACAGAGTGAAAAAAGCCCAAATCACTCTTTTTGCCTTATGTCCCATTTCTCTAGACAAACCAGACAGAGTCGTCTTTGTTCTCCCCAGCTAGAGCAGCATTCTCCAAATCGCCGCCTAGTGAACACTAATTACATTACAGCAGGTATTATTATAACTTATTTTGTACCAGTTGCTCTGCTGGGCAAGCAACAAAAAAGAACAACTTTTGGCTTTGTTAATAAACACTTTATATATACATATACAGAGAGAGCGAGAGAGAAAGAATTCCTAACTACACTGATGAAGAAAATAAAAGAAGAGAGATCACTACAGATCATAAAGACATTAGCAGGAATAATGGGAAAATATTGTGGACAATTTTATACCAATCAATTCGCCAGTGTAGATGTAATGGAGAAATTTTATAAAAAAACACAACTTAGAACCGAAATAGGATAAAAATTTAAATCCTGAATTTAAATTTAAATTTTGTTATTAAAGAAATTAAATTTTGTTCAACAAACTTCCTTAATATGGTAAAGGGCATCTCTGAAAAATCTATTGCTCATATCAGACTTAATAGTAAAATAGTGAACATTTTTTCCCATTATCAGGAACAAGGCAATATCAGGAACAATGCCCAGACTCACCAATTCTTTTCAACATGAATTGTAGAAAACTAGTTTTCTACACAAAGCAAGAAAAATCGTTAACAATTGGGATGAGTAAAATCATCTCCATTTTCAAATGACGTAATGGTTTGCATAGAAATCATAGGGACCAACAAAGTAACTACTAGAACTTTCCATAAAGATATGAATTAATGAGTGAATTTAGAGAGGTCTCAGTATACAAGGTTAATATATAAAAAATGTAAAGTTATGTATATTTATGCTTATAAAAAGAAATGAATGTCACATTAAACATACTATTAAAACATAGAGTGATTCCTCTATTAACTTTAAGCATGTTAATAGTTTGCCAATTTGTATCAGAATTTTGAAGAACAAAACTGTTAGACATAAAGCTCTAAATGCCTCACCACATTCATTCCTGCTTGCTCCCTGTACCAGCACTTCACCTGAAGTTGGTATAATTTTATCACATTTGCATATATATATATATATATATAAATATACACATATCAAATATGTAGGAATAACTATAATGAAAGAAGCTATTGGTAGCCAACTAAGCATATGTAAAGATATTCAGCAATATTGATCACTAGGGAAATACAAATTAAAACCACAGTGAGACAATAAGATACCATTGCACACCTATTAGGAAATCTAAAATAAATATAAAATTTTAAAAACCTGGCAATCTCAAGTGCTGATGAGGATGTGAAACAGCTGGAACTCTCATACATTGTTGGTGGGAATACACGCGGGTACAGCCACTTTGGAAAACAGGTTAGTGGTTTCTGATAAAATTAGGTATACACTTACCTTATCACCCAGCAATCCCACTCCTAGATATTTACCTGTGAGAAATGAAAACTTATATTCACACTAAAAAGTATATGTGAATGGTTAGAGTAGCTTTATTCATAATCATCTAGAACTGGAGATAACCCCAATTTCCTCCAACAGTTGAGTGGCTAAGCAAGCCAGGGTGTAACCAGACAATAGAATACTACTCAGCAATATGAAAGAACAGACTGCTGATACATGCAACGTGTCTGACTCTCGAGTGAAGATAGCCAGATTCAAGAGGCTACGTAGGATTCCATTTATATGACATCTGGAAAAGGCAAAACTATAGAGATAGAAAACACATCAGCTGTTGCCAGAGGCTGGAGATGGGAGGAGGGTTTACAATGAAGGGGCATGAGGGAATTGGGGAGGGTAGTGACAAGTCACAGAATTTTTCTATATCCTGATTATGGTGGTGATTACACAACTATGTGTGTTTGTCAAAATGTATACAGTACACTGAAAAGGATAACATTGCCTGTATGTAAATTATACCTCAATGAACCTGACCCCCCAAATAACTATATTTTTATATACTAGTAAAAAACAATTAGAATATGAAATTTTTGAAAAATACACTTAAGGAATGCTTAATCAAACTAATTCAATTATTAAAGCATTTACATACGAAAGCGGGATAAGGAACTTTGAGGCCGTTAAACTAAAAGGGAAAAGAGCTCTGTGGACAAAATGCCCAGTTCAAACCCCCTGCCCCACCCCGCAGTGTGCTGTGAGGACAACCAAAGTGACCCAATATCCTCTCTGCTCCACACAAGATGTTTACTGTTATCTCTTAATATAGCCCCATCCTAAGGGAAATAAAACTTTACCTTCAACAGAACTGACATTTACTACACAGAAATCCTGCAGGAAGTGTTCTCTTTGGAAAGTACATTCCCCAGAGTAAATATCATGAGCAGAGCGCACTGTTAGGGTCTAGCGGGTTTATACCATTCTGTGGAGACCCCACAGCCATGAATATTACTCTTCAGCTAGAAGGTGAAACATATTATTAAGAAAGAAATTCAAGAAAGTGAGATAAAAACAGTTTAGAAATATATATCAGTATCAGATCCACCAACTCTAGGTCTTGATTAATGCTGGTTTGAATGTACTTCGGTGCTTGTTAGAGATTCCCCCTGAGTTTGGAGATCCCTTCAAAGAGCTTCCATCTTTCTGCACCATAAACCGATCTTGGATCCCCATCTTTATGCACCTAGTAGTCAAAATGTGGTTCTCCAATGTCCGATTGTCTCTTGGTTCATCCAAGTCTGGGCCCAGTATTAACTTGTTTAGTCTTCACAAATACCCACTGCGGTGTTTTATAGAAGGGGAGACTGAGGCATAGAGAGGTTTATTTGTGTAAGGTCACACACAGAGGAAGTGGCACAAGGAGAGTTTGAACCCAGGCACTGTGACTCAAAACCACCACCGAACGCCGATAGGACAGGAGCAGGCGGGGA